TGAAACCTGTTGCTTTCATTCCCAGCAGCTAACATCTGTGAGTCTTTGTAGGCAGGCTGTCCTCAGGCTGCCAAAACTCCTTCTGCCTGAGTGCATGGACAGCCAGAAGTTCCTGGGCAAAGACAGTCCCAGGGGCAACCCTTAACTGATGACAGTCAGGTTCAGAAGTGTCAAAAGCCCAGCTGCCTGCACCCAGGGGGACAACTCCCAGGTGTGACTTCATTGTTTCCACAACTCTCCTGCAGGACTCAGCCAAAATTATCCTCCTGGAACTTTGCTGGATTTCACACCCTCGATGGGCCCTCTTTCTTCTCCTGTCCTCCATCTCTATTTGTGTACCCGGGGTCCACTTCCTAATAACCTACTTTCAGACACATCCTCATCTCAGGATCTGTTTGTGGGGAACTACTTCACCCAAGATAGAAAGACAAGAAAAAAGGAGGTGGCAATTTTTCCTGGTCTTCATGTTACTACAGACAGTGAAGCAATGGGCCAGGAGTCAGTCACTGTGAACACTAAAGTACCACTTGGCGAATTATTTTTGCTACAAACTAGCATGTATTCAGAACTGTCCCTGTAACGTGTTCTCTCTCTCTTGCATTCTGAGATGCTTTATGAGTGGGAAAAAGAAGAGGCGTTCCCGTTTGCTGGGATTTGCAGATCACTGCCACCTGTGTTATTGCCAATCTAGGCATACCTATGAGAGTGGGTCCTACATCGAACATCAACCACTGTGGGTTTTGCAGTGTGAAAAAAGTGGAGACATGCTGGATTGGAGCCCCAGGAAATTTTGGCTTCTTGCCTCCTGGACTCAGTTCCCAGAAGTGGGGCTCGGAGGCCTGGGCTCTCCCCAGGTCCACATGAAAAACACACCTTCCTATCACCTAATCTTTTCTCACTGAATCTACCTCTTCCAGGAAATTATCTTGGATTCCTTCCTTTCTCCACTCAGCCCTCCCTGAGTTCTCCTGTGGCACTGAGGAACGTGGCACCGAGGAACGTGGGTTTTGTTGGAGCTACTTTCTTAGCACTCAGGTACTCCCCCTCTCTCCACCCCCAAGCCAGCTGGAAGCTCTGAGTTTTTAGCTCAAATCACAGGCTGACAGAGCACATTAGGAGCCTCAGCCATGGGCAGGACGTGGGGTCTGGGGCTGGTCTTGCTGTCACAACATCATGGCTATGGGCAGGTGATGAGCTGTGTCCCCCAGAGCTTGGTTCTCTCCACCACCAAAGCCATGTGAGTCTAGTGTGGACACCAGGGAAACTGTGCCCAGCTCACTGCCACATTAGCACCTTGCCCTGCTTGTTCCTCTGGCCCCTCTGCCTGGACTGACACCTCCAGGGTCTGGACTGAACTCTTGGGGGTTGATGGGAGTCTGCTCCAACCAGGCCTGTGTCACCCTGTCTGCACCATTACACTCTGCAGCGCTGGAGCCCTGGCTGCCTTGCCCTGCGTCTGCTGTAAAACTGGCAATGTCTCAACGCCCAGACTGAGCTCAAGCTAATGGAGCCTTTTAAGTCCACTGGCTGGGCCTCAGGCCACTTTTCTCAGATTTCTGAGTTCCAGCAAGCTTGGATGCCAAGGATTCTGGAATAGTGACACAGCACATGTCCTTGGTATCACAGGGTCTGTTTTTTGAATCTTGCTAGACTCCCTGATTGAGTGGGGATGCTTATAAGCAAAATGTCCTGTCTTACATCTTCAGGTTTTCTGAGGCTGCTTAGGCTGCTAGATTGTATACATGAAGCACTCATTAAATGGCTGCTAATTCCTCCTCCAGGCCTTGTCAGAGGCTGGTAATGGCATTCACTCACACAATCATCTGTTCTTTACCCTTCCATCCACTCAGTCATATAATAAATATCTGAAACTGAAGGAATGACTCCATGTCATAGGTTGTTAGCCTAAGAACTTAGATATTCATCAGACGGAATTTCAAACCTTCTACTGCGTCTTGGCCCAGTTGGGCACACTTTCTAAGTCTGAGAGCCTGGGAGTGGGCATATTTTGAAAGCTCTAGATACAATGGCACTTCTGACGTCCTTTGGGACAGGATGGGCTTGCAGACTACAGGACAGATAGGAGAATGTTTCTGTTCTTCTCCTTAGATTTAAGGCTTTGTTGCTCCTGAAAAGTGATATTCATCTTTGCAAGGTGTGTGTGTGCATTTCCACATATGTTTTGGATTCTTGAAAGGACGAAGAATATATTTGCAAATCCTACCATCCATGAGACATTGGAAGGGGGTTGATCTGGGGGTGGGAACTGGGGCCCACCCTGGGGTTATTCCAGACTGATTAATTCAGGCCTGAGACAGTAATTGCCAGATTGCCTGATGGGGGCAGGGGTGGGCCCTTGGGCATGGATGGAGTTTCCCGGGGTCTGGAAAGAGACTTTTAGCGTGAAGGTTGGAAGGAGAGCCTCCCACAGAGGTGACTATGAGAACTGGGAGCAAGGTCCAGGTGGGATGTGGCCAAGCGGGAAGCCCCTGTAAGGTGTTTAACCTCTTAGGCGCTTCTCTGGATATGGGAAAGAAACAGTCGTACTCACTTTTAACGTCTTTTTTCCTATGTTGTAATTTTCTCCACAGGCTCTGATGGATCAGGAAAGTCCTCATCACCCACATAACTTTGAGGGCAGGATTTTGGCGGGACCTGAGGACCTGGGGCCCACGGGGAAGGAGAGACCCTGGCTCTTACCTCTTCCTCCTTCCGGGCCCTTGCACAGCTGTAGCAGCTTTGCGAGAAGAGCTGCTGAGGGAGCCGGCAGCCCATTTAGAGGAGGCGTGGCCTCTATCCGGAAGGGCACAGGAGACAATACCCTCTTTCTCAAATACATCAGAGGGAGTGGGTTCTTCAGGCAAAGCAAAAGCTGACCTTAGGGTGACCCAAAGCTGAGAAGCTGTTTTGGGTACTGGGAAACACACAAGAAATTAGACAGCTTCTTTGGCCTGGAGGAGCTCACACCCAAGAATGATCCAGTCTTGAAAAGGGCGTGTGTGCATGGCAGATGCTTAGGGAGAGCGCCTTCCCAGAGGGGAATGAGCAGCAAGAGAGTGTTTATTTCAGCTGGGCTCGAGGCAGCAGCTTGTGCAAAGGCCCACATGGCTCAGAGTCTAGAAACACCTGCGGGCTGGTGCGTGACTCATGTAGCAGACTGCGGCTACGCAGGAAAGAGAAGCGGGGCCAGAGGACGGCTTGGTGCACCTTCACTATTGGCTAGAAATGAAAGGTGTCGTTGATTGAGGGTATCTAAAGTGCCAGGCTCAGTGGCTTATTCTGTACAGGATAGTGTAGTTGGCAGTGGCTCTCAAGCCTGATGGGGCATCAGAATCACCTGGGAAACCGTTAGAATTGCACATTATAAGACTGCACCCAGACCCACTGATTCAGAAATTCTGGGGGTCAACCCCAGCAATGTGTTTTAACAAGACTCCTGGGTGATCTGGATGCAGGCCAAAGTTTGAGAACCACTGGTGTAGTGGAAACAGTACTAGACTTTGGAAGGTTGGGTGTGCTGGTGAGGGAGGGAGGTGCGAGGGGGACAACTCACACTGGGTGAAAGTCTACTGTGTCTGAGTTACAGGCTATATTACTTGCATGTTCTTTTTTTTGAGACAGAGTTTTGATCTTGTTACCCAGGCTGGAGTGCAATGGCGCGATCTCGGCTCACCGCAACCTCCGCCTCCTGGGTTCAGGCAATTCTCCTGCCTCAGCCTCCCAAGTAGCTGGGACTACAGGTGTGCGCCACCATGTCCAGCTAATTTTTGTATTTTTAGTAGAGATGGGGTTTCACCACGTTGACCAGGATGGTATTGATCTCTTGACCTCGTGATCCACCCACCTTGGCCTCCCAAAGTGCTGGGATTACAGGCATGAGCCATCACGCCCGGCTACTTGCATGTTCTTTTAAGTGCTCTAAGCAGTAATGTTGGGATGGGATCTATATCACCCTACTCTCAATATAGATGGAGAATCGAAGGCTTAGCAGGGTTAAATGACTTGCCAAAGATCACACAGTACTAGAGCTGCATTCTGCACCCAATTTGGCTTGATTCCCAGAGTGAGATTGTCAGTGCCTGTTGGGACCACTGACCCACCAATGTGCAATGGTCTGGGCAGCAGGCCTGGAGAACCCATCGGGGGCTGGGTGGAAGGAAGGGCCCCAAAGCTTGCATCTCTTTCCCTGAGGACCTGGTGTGGCCAGCCCTGAGGCTGATGGGAGAAAGAGGATAAATTCTACTCTAATTCCTGTCCTCAAAGGACAATTATTTGAATTTTCATAAGGTTTGCCATTCACACCAGGGAGCCGGACTTAGCACATGTATGCTTTCAAGAGACCAGCTGTCGTCCCTGACTCCTAGGGCTGATAGGTGAAATGTGAGGTTAAGTGAGAAAAGCAGGGTGCAAAATGACCTGTGTGCTGTGATGATAACACCTTAGATAAAAAATAACACAACATTAAAACACACAGGGCAAGGAGAGAGGAAGCCTGAAGGAATTTTCTTCCTTTCTCTTTTCCTAAAGTGCATTATGTAGTTACAATTATTTGTATGATGAATATACAGTCATTTATTTGTAAAGGGCAACTGCTCAGATCCCTTGTGGAAGGCAGTGGTGTGGTGGATGACTGTGTGCCTAGCAGTGGAGCAAGGCTCTCTCTTCTGAGAGGGCTGGGTTCGTTGGCTCCTTCAGCCTGTCTTGAATGAGGGCAGCAGTGGGACGGGAGAGCCATGATGCACTAGTGATGTCAGAGGAGCTGTGAAATTTATCCTCTCAGGCAGTTACTAGGTCAAGCCTCAGGGTCTTAGAGACCCTCTGGAAATCCCTCTAAACAGAGCTGTGGCCTAGAGGGCTTAAGAGGGATCCTGGGGCCTAGGACCCAGCACTCTCCCAGGTTATCCTGATAGCAGCCAGCAGGGAAGCCCAAATACAGGATGGCTCAGGGCTGGGACCCGCAAGAGGAAGCCTCTATCTCCACACGAAGGCCACCAGACACCTTTAAACACAAAATAGTCTTTTATTTGTCAACGAAGGCTACACGGGATCACTTCTGGTTTCGTTTTTATGCTTTTTTTTCCTAGAAGGTATCTACATCTGCATTTATTTACAGCCTTGTTGGTATTTACACAGTCAAGATACAGTGTTAGAAACACAAAAGTGTTGAGAAAAAAACTTCTCAAAATTAGGTCCAGACTTCAGGAAAATGATTTCCACATGGTAAGGCCAGAGTCTCTAGTGTTGGTCGTCCAGAGGCAGCTTGGTACAGACTCCTTTTGCCGAAGCTGCAGGTTCAGAGGTCCTCAGAACAGGTGGATTTAGAAAAGTGGGATTCTGGTGTTGGGTGAATCCAGTGCTGCTGGGGCCCTGCCAGACACCTGCAGCTCAGCTCCTGCCAGGACAGCCGAGCTGCTCCAGGCTGAGTCCTCCCTTGGCAGTTCACCCTCAGAATAAATCACATTTTCTCGGGGACCAGGAGGTCGGCTGGTACCTTGCCTTTGGCATTCCAGAGGAGGTAAGAAACACAACATTGGCCCTCACCCGGGCCTCCCCCTGCTCTGATCCTCCACATTCATAATGAAACTTAAGAGTCACCACTGTCTGGGGCAGTCAAGTACACAAGGATGGTTTTTGCAAATGTAAAGGCTGGAGAGGATAAAGTTTCTATCACCTTAGCAACGAGTCTTTAAAATGAATTTGCTGTTTTTGGAAGGTTAAATGAAAGGGTCTTGAACTGCAGAGTTCTTTTTTAATTCCATTTCCTCCAATAAAATATAGACAAGTGTATAAATTAGCTGGAAATGATGTGCCTTAACAGAGGGGTTTCCGTCCTAACGAAGACCTCAAGGGAAAGGAGAGACTGGGTTCTTTCCGGGATTCCCTCAGGAGATGTGTCTCTGGGCCAGGACCGGCTCCTGGGCTTAGTGGCTGCCGTGAGGAGTGGAGAATAGTCTTGACTCTGAGCAGTGGATGCTCAAATCCCCAAGCCTGGGACCTGCTGAGAGCTCAAAAGCTCAGCATCACCACCCTCACCACGTGGCCACCACAAATACAAGGCTGCAAGTGGCAAAATGGTATTCTAAGATATCACATTGAAAGCCTCATCTTTCCATAATGGAAATCCCTGCTATCTATAAAGGTGATACTTTAAAGTCACAGCTGAGATTTGTTTTTCTTCTTTTTTTAAATTCTGATTCTGTGTCCTGTGTCTACAAAACACTGCCCAGTCTGCCTCTCCAGCCTCTTCTGCGCCCCCTCCTGGTTATCTGGATGCACACCTCCTGTCCATTCTCACCCTCGCTAAGTTTCTTAGGGATTGTTTCAAATTCTCTTTCCTTAAGTAGAAATCAGGCACTGGTGTGGTCCTTGGGTTAATTCTTAGCCAACAATTCTGAGAGATGAGGATCAGAGGCTGGCAGGGGAGTAACTGACTGACATGCCTTCCCCCTCCTCCAGTTGTCCTAGCTCTGCCCTCCAGCAATGTCTGTTTGGAATGGAGGGCAGGGAGTAAAAAGGAAATCTCATCCTACAAAAAAAAGTTGGGGAATCAGTAAAGTCCTATTTAAGGTGGTGGTATAGGGGCTGAGGATGCGGGACCAGTTGGCAGCTGTGTGGGGCAGGAGAGAAGGCAGGAACTGTTTGAAAATAAACCTTCACTAGGGTCAGAGGTCAGTGTCCTGTAGGATCATACAGCTGGGCAGGTAAGGGAGGTCTGGTCACTCTAATGAATGAACAGATTTGGCTGATTAGTGTCTGAAGGGCCTGTGTGCTCAGGATGGGAGTTGATGCTTACAGCCTGTTAGGTAGGCACAGGGAACCCTGGCTTAGGACTTCAAACCCTCCCTTTCCATGGGGTTGGAACTGCTGGTCTCAGCAGGAGGACAGATGAGTCACCTGCAGCCCAAATGGAAACCAACTCGAAAGTGCCAAGGCCAGAAGCACCGCCTTCAATACAACAGCACTAAGGTGAAAGTGAGCTGCATAACACTGCCTGTGCCACAGCTGAGATCCTTTCTCTAAAGCTTTGGGATCCTTCAACTTCTCTCCCCACAGAAACTGGGCTGCTATGGTGGTATGTAGCCCAGGAAAAATATAAGATTCTTTAAAGAAATAAACACTCAGACCAGGTACAGTGGCTCACACCTGTAACCCCAGCACTCTGGGAAACCAAGGTGGGTCACTTGAGGCTGGAAGTTTGAGATCAGCCTGGGCTACATAGTGAGACCCCATCTCCATGGGAAAAAGAAAAGAAATGAAAGACCCATTAATTTTCCAGTTCTGATCCATAAAAGTCCACCCTGTTCCTTTGGGGAGGGGGCTGTGGAGGAGGGACGGGGTGGGGGAGGCGTAGGGGGCTAGTTCCCGTGGACCACATGCTGTCTCTGACCTCTGAGCAGGTATCCCCAGCAGGTCTTCACTGATGTCGACCAGCCAGGATGGGACTGATCAACTGGGCAGGAGTGATTTGCCCAAGGGCCCTTGGTATGAAGAGTATATTCTGAGAGGCCTAAGTCCCTTCTGAAGAATAAGACTCATGTTCTTTAGGCCAAACTGTTTTCCATCTCATCCAAGAACGATCCTGCCAGATGGGAGCCCCCATCTCCAGCTTACGCCTCACACAGCAGGCCTGGGGAGCACTGTATCTGACTCAGTAGAGCTCTGGATCCAGGGGCAATGAGCAACCAGTGGACAGGCAGGCCAAGGCGCACTGCTGTGGCAGTGTGACTTTTTGGAAACAGGAAGAGCACTTAGCGAAACACATCCTCTAATCCCAGTGGGATGACATAAGGCGACATTTCCTCTCCAGAGAAGTTTTGGATGCCTCCCTCTGCCAGGCAGAACCCAGACTATATGCTGCTCTGATTCTCATGCAGTCAGAGACCTTCTTGGTTTCATTAACTTGTGTAATATTCTGAAGACTCTGTGAGTAAGGCTATAAAGGTGCCATGAGCTTATCAGTCCAACAAGGTTTCCACGGGGAATAGCTCAGACTCAGAATTCATTTTCCACACTTAATGTAAATGTAACCCATAAAAGTTCCATTTTCTAAGAAGCCTAGCTTAAAAGGAAGCATTTGGCTTCCCCTCCCTTCTCCCAGATCCTCCTGTGAGTGGTAATGACAATGGTAATTAGGTGGATGAACCAGGAATGGAATCCTTGAACAAGAGGCTCCCAGCTCTGGCTGTGACTCCCCCTGCCCTCACTGCTCCCCCAGCCTGCTGGCTGCTGCCTTGGCTTGGGGGTACTGTCCCTGCTTCTGAGAGGGCTCATGCCCCTCCCTGATGACAGAGGCAGAGGTCTTCACAGGAACCATGCCAGCCTGGCCTCCCAGATCCACGGGTATGCACCTTGGGAACTACCCTGCTCCTGGAGGGGTTGTATGACACGGGCAAGCCACACCACATCAGCTCTTTCCTCCTTTCTTCCTGTCACTAAAAAACACCCTGGCTGGGCTTCTCTGGAGGGAAAGCTGTTTCAGAACTTAAGAAATGTCCTGGAAGCCCATCCTGCCCCATTCTAGCTCTGCAATCAGCTTGTATATGAAGGCAGACGGGACTTCAGGAGCTGGTTAGAAGGATGCTTGACTCAAGCCTTCCTCTCTTTGGCCGTTTTTTTTCTTAAGCATTTTTCCAGAATCAAAGGCCACCAAGCACCTCACTCCACATTCCTACATCTCAGTGGTGGCAGCTGGGCAGTGGAGGGAAGATACTCGAAGTCATAGAGAGTGGGCTTCACCTCGGAAGGCAGGCTAGTACCCTTGCTACCACTGCTATCCCTTTGCCATGGGTGGCCTTCCCTTCCGTGGACATGTGCCCACACTGAGGGCTTGCTGTGCAGTACTGGTTCTCACATCTGGCTTTGGGAGAGAGGACGAGATGAACAGGAACGTCATGGAGGACCAACCAATCACAGGCATCCTGGGTGCTTTCCCTCCCGGGAGGATGGGGCGCTGAGCCCAGGACGTTATGTCATTGGTCTGGGGGAAAGAACCTGGGAGACACTTTCTCTATCCCAGCATGGTGGTGGCACCAACAACTACATGAGATTTGCAAAAGGGGTAGGGGGTTTCATTTCGCATCAAAATAGAAAGCTTGGACAGGAGTTTGGGGCAGCTTAAAAAGGTGCTGAACACCATGAAATTCCCTGGAGCAAGATGAAGCCAACTGTAGTCCTCTGGAGGCACAGAACACGGTGAGAAGAAACCCAGCACTCTCCTGCAGGAGCCCAGCGAGGCGCCTCAGTCCTCCCAGGCCTCCCGAACACGGTGAGGAGAAACCCGGCACTCTCCTGCAGGAGCCCAGCGAGGTGCCTCAGTCCTCCCAGGCCCTCTGGAAGGTGTGGTACTGGCCCATCACTCCCTTTATTCCTGCCTGACTCCAATTGAAGAAGAAAGGGTTGCACAAGAGACAAGTTAGCACAGACATTCATGTCCCACATCACACTGGGAACCTAGGGACAGACGAGGACACACCCCAGGAGATGCGTCTCAGAGAGGAGATACATACCCCAAACGACAAGGGAAAAATCCTCAGGGAAAAAGGGAACAAACAACAATCAAGTTTTCATTGTGATCACACTACAGAAAAAAATACCTCCTGTTCTTTGCAAAAAATGTGCGAAGGCCAAATTTGTGTTTCTCTTTTCTAAAAAAAAGGATGTTGCATGAGTTACAATGCAACCAGTATCTTTTTGTTTTCTGCACTTGTTAAAAAAATCATTTTTTTAAAGTACAACACAGTCAGGTATGTGGCCACAAAAGAGTAGCTGTCTTTGGCAAGAAGTCCAGGCCTTGGCCCTCTCTGTCACCTCCGGCCCATCTCGCTCTGTCTCATGAAGTGGATGTTGTTGGCGCTGTCCGACAGTTCTGGGTACTGCTCGACGGAGATCACGAAGAAGCCATCGTAGCCTTGCACCCGCCCTGTGCTCAGCACCTGCTGCTTCTCCCCCTCTGTCCAGGCCCGCAGGCCTTCCTCCCCTTCCCGCAGTCTCTGCTGCTCGCGGGCCCATGCCTGGCGCACGGCTCTCTGCCGGGCCAGCTCCAGGACCCGCGCCTTCTCCTCGTCCAACGTTGTCCCGTAGCGTGTGTTCAAGCACAGTGCCCCGTACTGGAGCTGGATGTCTGTGTAGCGTCTAGTCCTGCCATTGAGCATTGTGTTAATCTGGGACACAGTGACGTTGACCCCATTCTCCAGGGTTCGCTGCCCCCCACTGAGGCCCAGGATGGCCAAGTCACCTTCTGAAGGCCCTGGTTTCACGAAGTAATGAGTGTCCATCCCATTAATGGTGAAGTGCAGGTTCTCTAGGTAGTGGGCATTGTTCAAGATGGCAGCAACCCTTCGTCCATCCTCGTTGGCCACACTGATGATGTCTGTGGTCACTCGGCCATCCTTCAAGGCGAACTTGACCCCCTTGCCAAAGACTGAGCCGCTGGATGCAAACTGCTTGGCCTTTGGGGCCTGCTGGCAGCTGGTGATCGTGGAGCCATAGAGCTGGTCAAAGCGTTCTAAGGTAACGAAGGCCTTGAGCTGCTTCTGTACTTCACACTGTACCCCGAGGATGGACTGATGGGGGAGAGTGAGAGACAGAGTAAGACAAAAAGCCTGGAGAATCAGCTTAAATAATGAAGTCAAAACCACACATATTTATTAACCTGTGGCACATAGCTCTACTGCTGACCACCAGAACATCCAGGTGGTCACCAGAAAGTCAGAACATCTGCTGACCTTCATCCAACCATTCACCCACCCTCCTATTTAGAAACTGTTCATGGGGCACCTAATCCATGCCAGATCCTTTTCTGAGCACTGGAGACACAAAAATGAATCAGACATCATCCTTGCCCTTAAAGAACTCATCATTTAGTGGAGAAAGACAGACATGATAACAATAATCGCAGTCAAATGTGATCACTGGTGGCCTAAGAGAGGAACTAGTAATAGCCATAGCTAACATTTTTTGATGTTTGAGCCAAATAATTGCCACGGATGATCTCAGTGATCTTTACAATCACTTTATACAGTAGGTGCTGTTATTATTTCAATTTCATGTCTAAGGAAACTGAGGCTCAAAGATGTTGTCACTGGTTCACATACAACTAATGACAAGTCAACATGCAAACCCAGGTCTGTCCAATTCTAGAGATTCAGGTTCAAGGGCCGCTGGAGCAGGAAGGAGCAAACAAAGCTGAGAAGACTCTTGGCCTGAAGGTGGAGGAGGTGAGGATTGAGGACAGGCTTAGGCTTGAGTTGGGACCTGAAGGATGGGTGGGGGTGGTGGGGTGCTGTCCGATGGAGGAATGGCAAGAAATGCAATCTTGGCAAGAAGGTATAACATGGTGAGAGGCAGTGACTGGGTATCAACCCTCCCACCGTGCTTCACTGCTCTCCACTGCATTTACATCTCAGTTCCAAGGAGGGCCTCTGCCCCACTGTGCTTCCTTGGGGCTCCTGGGCTGCTCCTCCTCTTGGCTGCTTTGGGGGACAGGTTGGGCACTGCCAGCTTGGTGTATTACTACCTGTCCCTCCTGTGGCTCAGGGAGCTTGGAGAAGCCACACTCGGGAAGGCTCCAGGGCCTAATCAGCAAGTTAGGGAAATGGCTTTAGCAACAGGCCCATCGGCTTCTCACTGAAATTAAGTCCTCTTTATAATTAATAGAACCCTGTCTGTGAACAATTATTTCCTAGAGTTTCACGAAAGCTAGAGTGCTCAACAACAAAGATCTCCGATGCTTGCCAAGGGCAGAAATCAATAATTCATTGACAGGCGAGGTTGGCAGACAGGCAGTCAGAGACTGGGGCTCTCTGGAGTGCAGAAAAGAGCCTGGTGGGGGAGGAAGAGCTGTACTGCAGTGCTCAGCCCTGGGAAGAGCAAATGCCAGGACATTTGGGTGGGGCCTGGGGGTGGTGGGAAGTGGAGAGGGCTGGGGCAGCAGAAAGATGATGGGCTCTGGGGCCAGGCCGACTTGGGTTCTCCATTGCATTCTGTTCCTTTTCAACCCTGGTCCCCTCATCTGTAAAATGGGGAAATGTCTGGGCTGTTTACTTCTTTCAGCCGTTTATTTATTTATTTATTTATTTAGCAAAAGTGTTCCATGCATCTATTGTGTGCTATCCTGTATGCTAGGTACTCAATGAAACCCAGTACTTATCCTCTTGGGGCTCATAATCCAGAAGAGAGACAAGAAAGAGGCATTCAAAAACAGTGTGGGAAGTGCCACCAGTGTACAGGGGAGCAGAATCCCATTCTCCAGGGTCTGTTAGGAGATAGCTGTGCTGAGGCCTAAAGGAATCAGTCTGGAGTAAGAAATAGGGATGTGAAGGCTGCTGACCACCAGCAGCACGCCATCTGGCAACCCTGCTTTCCTCCTTAGTCTGTCATCCCCTGGGCAAGCATCCCTTCAAGGCTTGGTCTCTGCCTGACTCATCCCTGGGTTCACTGGGCACAGCATGGGCTTGGCACAGAGTCGGCTTCTCATAGAGAATTCATGAATGGATTGGGGTAGTGGGGAGGGGAGAAATGAGCAAATGAATGCATGAAGTGAGCGGGTGGGATGAGACTGTTTTTAAAGACCTTTCCAGCTATATGATTCTGAGTCTTGGAAATTGGGTTATAAAAGCAAGACAAGAGAAAGTGAGTCTTTTTGAGTACCGACAGTACGCCAGGCACTGTACTCAGGTAGAGGATACAGACAAGCACATCTGGGTTTGAATCCCAGCTCTACCCCTTACTTGCTGTGTGGCACTGGGAAAGCCTCAGGCACCAATCTGTAAAATGAGAACAATATGGCTGTGGGATCTTTGTGAGTTACATAGAGTAACTCACATAAGGCCAGGTGCACTGAAGAGCTTGGAAAATGTCATATTTTGGCTTAGAATCATTTTCTCTCCCTGCGCTTTTGTTCTGGATAGTGACAAAGACTTATTATTTTTGTGGAACTCCAAACTCAGTGTAACACACAAAACTCCTTCTGCAGTGTAAGTATCTGTGTGTGGTCATGGCTGCATCCCCAGCAGCTTCCTCGTGGTGGGGTTACTAAGCAGTTGTTGAACAGTCTGCCAGGCGCTGTGGAGGCACCACACTGGTATCTCTCATTGGCCCACTTTTCTGAAAAGCTGAAGGGACCCCCTCTTGTAACGTCTGAGTGTCCTGAGGAGTGGCAGCCTTGCGCAGGAATTACCTTGCTGTTGTCCCACTCCTGGGTTTTCATCTGTGTGTGGATGAGCTCGTAGGAGGGTTCCATGGCATCCATGTCTGGTTTGGGATAACCAGGGATCACATTGTGCAGCTGGAATCCAAAGGTGAGCAGCCAGCTGTTAACATCTGGATGGGAGGGAAGCAGAAACATCTCCATGGATTAAGTGGACTTCAGATACCACCCATCCCCATCACACAGCCTAGAGTTAGGTGCAGGAGGTGGTGAGGGTGTGGATTGCTGCTGGTGGGAGACTCAACTGCTATGTACGCTTTGGAAAATGGTTTCACTCTATGAAAGCCAATGTACTCCTGGGACCCAGTGATCCCCATCCCAAGTATATACCTAAGAGTGATGACACTAAAATAGAACCTAGGTTTCCAGATTTCCTTTTCTATTTTCACTTTAACTCCCAGGACCTCTAGCTTCATACCCAGGGGCAGCTGTTGACAGATGAAGATCCCTCCCTTTCACCCCAACATCCATAGGAGACACTTAGAAAGGACATCCAGACCCACCAAAAGGAAAGATTTTCATGATGGACTTGTAAAGAGACAATTCTCTTAAGAAACACTCCCCTACTCTCCCACCCCCTGGTGCAGTGACTAGAGCTTCAGGGTCAAAGTCCCACGGGTCACAGAGATGGCCTAGGCTGACATCAGAGAGTCCTCCCTCTGCTTCTACCTTTTATTTACTCTGACAGCCCAAGGATGCCACAACTTCCCTGTGCCTTCATTTTCTCCAAGACATGAGGAAATGAAGAGGACCAGTCACCTGGCCCACTGTTGCTGAGGGTCTTCTATGTGCCCAGGACTGTGTCATTCAGACCCTCATCTTGCATACTGAGAACCCTGAAGGAGAGATGAGACATGGGCATGAATAACTTTGATACAAGGAAAAAGATTAGAGGAAGGCGGAAGCCTTTCATTTAGACAGGCTGACCAAGTCCACATGCAGAAGGTGGCATTTAAGCCAGACACTGAAAGCTGTGTCATTTTCGTCAGGCACTGGCAGAGATGAAGTGGGCACTTCAGGCAAAGATGACTATACAAGGCAAGGCCTAGAGAGGGAAGGTGTGGGTGCAGGGAGTGTTCAGTTAACCAGAGAGCAGCTCAGCAAGGTTGAGAAAGAGCCAGAAAGGATGACTATGGCTGGAGCAAGAAGAGCCTCAGATGGCAGGTGGGAAGCAAACTGGGGCCAGAGACAGACAGACAGACAGACAGACAGACAGACAGACAGACAGACAGACAGAAAGCCATCCAGCCAGCCTGTGTCCCAGCATGGATCAGCCTTCCTCAGAAAGGCATAGCTGAAGATGACAAAGCAGATGTCAACCAGGGACTAAGAATCCAAAGTCTTAGGGAGGCAGGATTTTGAGTTCAGCCTCAGAGCCAAGCCTGACTTTGGCTTCTTTCCAGTGGAGAAGGAACTCTGATCACAGAGGTCCTGTTTAGGTTCTAGGTTGATATAGTTAGAATATTTGTCCCCTCCAAATCTCATGTTGAAATTTGATCCCCAATGTTGGAGGGGGCCTAGTGGGAGGAGTTTAAGTCGTGAGGGCAGGTCCCTCATGAATGGCTTGGTGCCCTCCCTGAGGTAATGAGTGAATTCTTGCTCTATTAGTTCATGCAAGAGCTGGTTGTTTAAAAGGGCGTGGACCCCTCCCTTCCCTCTTGCTCCCTCTCTCACTGTAGCCATACTGGCTCTGCTTGCCTTTTGTCATGAGTAAAAGATTCCCAACACGGAGCAGGTGTGGGTGCCATGTTTACACAGCTGCAGAACTGTGAGCCTAGTAAACCGCTTTTCTTATAAATTACCCATGCTCAGGTATTCCTCTATGGCAGCATAAAACAGACTAAGACACAGGTATAGGCAAAATTGCCACCTGCCACCCCCTGAGTTCATCCTATTGGTGGGAATGATCTGTGTCCCTGTCACCACTGGGTCCCATGTTGCTATCCCATTCAAGTCCCTCACGTTTGCCTTTGCTTTTGTTTTGTTTTCTGGTTGTCCCAGGCAGGGCCCCTCTCCTGAGTGTGCAACCTGGTGGCACTGAGGTGGAGTGGTGGTAGAAAGGGACGTTGGGAGCCAGGTTCTACTTGTTTCAGCCTTACTAGGCAAAATCATAGAAGGGAAAGAACACTGCAGCTGAGGCAAGACAAACCCAGGTCCAAATTCTGGCTCCCCAACTTACAAACCATGTGAACTCGGACAGTTTACTTAACCTCTTCGAGATTTAGTTTCCTTATCTGCACATTGACAATAGAAATGGTTTTAACTGTACTTTTGGGAGAAAAATAAAAGTGTTACCATTTGGGGACAGTTATCATGTGGCAAGAACTATTCTAAGCTTATACCTAAATTACTGGATTTAATGTTGCCCAGGCTGGTTTGGAACTCCCGGACTAAGCAATCTGCCTGTCTTGGCCTCCTAGAGTACTGGGATTGCAGATGTGAGCCACTGTGCCTGGCAGATTTAACGTATTCTGAAGAATACAGCTCAGTGCCTGGCTCACAGAAGATTTTCTCTATTTTCCCCCAACCCATGATTCTACATCCCAGGACCTCCATTTTCTCATCTGTAACAGAAGGAGCTTGGACTAACTTTTCTTCAAAGTCCCTCTTCTCACTGAGTTTTTAAGAGTCTTTGATTCTATAAATCTTGGCAGATGGTTCTTTGGGAAATTAAAACAAACAGAACAGGAGGAAAAAACACCCAATAAAGCCATTTTGCCTGAGGCTAAGAACTTGCATCTGAATTTGTAGTTGCAAAGGAAAGCTTCTATAAGGAATACTGCAAATTCTCAGGAAACTAGGGGGCTGAGAAGAGGGCTGGGCCTTAATTACAAGTGATGGAAGGTGGAAAATTTTCCAATTATGCCTTTAGGAAAAATGCTGAAAATGAATTTATTCATACGTTTTTCTACAGTGTTCTGAAGAGCTGGGAATTCTGCTCTTCCTTCTTACCATATCAGAAGTAGATATTTCCCTCAAGTTAAAAATTCCTCTTTACCAATTCATCATAGAATTTGGTGTTGTCACAGGTAAGTGATAAAAATGTAACCAACAATAATCTCTTTCTTTTTTTTTTGAGACAGCATCTCATTCTGTCACCCAGGCTGGAGTGCAGTGGCACGATCTTGGCTCACTGTAACCTCTGCCTCCCAGGTTCAAGTGATCCTCTTGCCTCAGCCTCCTGAGTAGTTGGGATTACACCATGCCCAGCTAAGTTTTGTATTTTTAGTAGAGACCATGTTTGTCTTGAACTCCTGGCCTCAAGTGATCTGCCTGCCTTGGCCTCCCATAGTGTTGGGATTGTAGGCGTCAGCCACTGCACCTGGCCAATAATCTCTTTCATGTATGCAGTTTTGTTCTTTACAAAGTGTATTTGAATCCAAGAATGAGGGCTTTGGGATCAGAGCAGAGTTCTAACCCAGACTTGCCACTTGTTAGTGGGCCATTTACTTAAGCTCTGTGAACCTCAGAACCTCACTTTCCTCCTTTGTAAACGGGGTCAGAGATCCCATCTCACAAGCATCAAGTGAAGACTGAGTGCAATGATGTACACGCTATATCTGTAGTAGACGTTTTTTGGTTGCCTTCCCAGCATCCTATTCTGTCTTCTCTTTCCTTTCTGGAGTATTAATATAATTTTAGGGAAGTTGACTCCACCTAAGGGGTTAACATGTGACCTAGGCTAAGCCAATCAGTGCATTCTTTCTCTCCAGCCACAAAGTGCTTCCGGGACTGTCCTGTGACCTAAGCCTGTCTCAGTGGAATACATCTCAGGACCCTTGAAAAAATTTTTGGGAAAAGAGGATGGTCTTTTGTTGTTGTTGCTGGATGTGAATGAAGATGTAAGTAGTCCACCTGGATGCTAAGACGTAAGGTTTGGTAAGAAGTAATAGTATCTTTGTTCTTATTAGTGATTGCAAATCTTTTTACATTTGCTAAAAACTTAATTGCTTATATGAAGTCTCTTCTTTGCACACCATGAGTTTTCTAACTGTGGGATATGACCCACTAGGTAGTGAAATCAATTTTGTGAATCATGACCAGCATTTTTATTGAAAGGGAACAGACTAGACTAGAAAATGAGTGCATCACACTCAAGTGCTGTTTTGCAAACCTTTTGTCTTAGTATTTTACTGCAATGGAAAATCTTTTTCTTATGGTGGGTTCACAGTCAAAGAAATTTGGGAAAAGCCATCTTGGACCCTGTGATCTATGAAGGTGGGTATTACACCTCACTCCTCTCTGGATCCTTAGTACAGGTTTGGCATGGACTAGGTATAAATAATTACTATTTGCTGGATTTAACTGACTGGAATATAGAATCCAAAAGGAAAATGTCAGGTGCTCCTTGGTGGTTGGTTACTTTGTTAAAAGCTGCCTTTGGAGGCCAGCATGATTGCAGTGGGGGGTGTTCTGGAGTCGGAGGGCTGTGGATTACAGTCCTAGCTCCGTGGTTACATCTGTGTGACTTTGGGCAAACCCTTCATTGGACCATCAAATGACATTTGGAGTCTCATCTACAGAATGGAGATAATGATGGTGATCTCACAATTGTTGCAAAGTTTAAAGAAGAGCATATCTGCCAAGTGCCAGATAGCACAGAGTTAGTCATGATAGTGCTATTCTGGAATGAGACCATATGTATATGGTGGTGTACAAAGAAAAAGGAGGAGGTAGTAATATTTTGGCAAGATGGAATGATTTTTTTTTTGATAGAAAAGTACATTTCCTATTGCACCATATTTTTTTCAGCTACAGTAACCTGCCAAGACATCTCACAGGAAACTCATTGGAGGGTGAGGCAGGGGGTGTGCTTAATGCAGACAGATGTAATGGAAATGTCATCTCAATCTGTCAAGTTTCTCTAGAACTAGCAGCCAAGTTGAGCATGGTGAAGGCTGTGAAACACTGTTAGGGTATTCATGTTTATCCATAGGCCCCAAGTCTATTTTCATCACACCTGTCCACCACCTTGTTCTCCCTTCTTTCCTATGCTTGGGATGCCTGCTCTCAACATGTGACAATGTGGAACTCTTCTTGAAAAAGGAATCCTCCTACTGCTGTCAGCAGAAACAGGGTCCAGGTGGGGCCACCAAATTTGGGAGCTGGGAAGCCACGTCTATAAGGGGCATTCACATGAGCTCTCATGTTGCCCCTTTACACTTCTATATTATATGTGCTGTCTTCTCTCTCTGGAATGCCTTTCTCCCTCATTACCTGGTGAACACCCACTCAAGAGCTGGCCTCAAATGTCAGCTGGTTTGTGAAGACTTCCCAGAACTCCCTGGGCAGAGCAGGTGGCTTCCGTGGCCCTCTGTGCAAACCTTTGTCATGGTCCTCCCCTCTTGACAGCAGTTGCCTGTCTCTTTTCTTTCAGTGAGAATTCCTGAAAGGTAGGGATCATCTTTCTATCCCCAATGCCTAAAACAGTGGCTGCACAGAGAAGACCATTGTAGGATGAAGGAAACTGCCACAAAAGAGGGCAAGAGGATTGAATCACAAGACAAAAGAGGGGAGAGACTTTGCAAGTTAGGAATTTTTACCTGCCACAAACTCTTACGTAAAGTGTGGGCTTTACCCAAACCCCCACCCATTATCTGTGGGGTTGGGGGCCTCAGTGGCAACTTGGGACTAGCTGCATGCTGGGAGGGCTGTGGCTGCTGGAGACATCCCTGCCTGTGGGACCCTAGGACACTTTATACTCAAGTTGGTTTCACCATAGTGAAAGGCAGAGCTCACTTTTCCAATCAGAGGGTAAAGGAAAGGGAACCAACATGAGCCAGGCGCTGTGATAGGAGCCTCAAAACATGTATTTCATTTAACTCTTGCAACCACCTACCAGGGAAGTAGGTGTAGTTTCCATGGTTCCACATGTTCCTTGTCCTTTTTTCCCTCTTTTCCTGCCCTCTTTGGATTGAGTATTTTCTGTCTTCCATTTTATCTCTGCTGTTGACTTATTAGCTAGGACTCTTTTTAAGTTACCTTTTTAGTGGTTTCTCTATGGCTTATAATACACATATTTAACTTACTGGAGTCAAGGTAGATATTCTAACTTCAATTTAAAACTATTAGGAAACTGAAATTCAGGGCAGCTAAATAATTTTTGTAACAGGTCATAGCTTCAAAATTGTAGATATTTCACTCAGTTCTTACATCACCCCAAATTGAGAACTATTTTTTTTAAGGCACTTAACCCAACTTATCAAGGACTCATAAACAGCTTGATCCGTGTGTCACAAACTCCTAAAGTACAATCCATGGGATGCATCCAATGAGATATTAGGATTTCATGGTGATAAAAGGGCTTTCATGGCCAAAGAAGTTTGAGAAATAGTGGGTAAATATGTTAAATAGTCCATCTTTCCAGCACTTCCCAGATCTTACCATAAACTGGAATGTACTATGAAAATGTCATATGCTGTGACCCTGACAGATTTATTTGATGCTGGAACCATTTTTCCGGAGTATTTTCTGAACTAGTGTTTCTTCAAATGGACTTTGGAAAATGCTGCTCTGAGAGAAAGTCAAGGTTTCCTGTCACCTTATGCCAGCTTTCTCAAGGAAGACTAAGTCTTGTTAGGTAGCCAGAGCACTTTATGGGGTCCCGCCCCCTGAGTGAGCCATGAGCCTTACCTGTCATGAAGCACTTGATGTCCTGAGAGTTGCTGATGGGGTTGTTGTTTTTAAACATATAGAGGTTAAAAGGCATAATGTTGCTGCTACTAAGGTGCTTCCACAGCTCATGGTCTGGGCTAGTCCAGCGTCCAGCCAGCACATCATAATCTCGCCGGCCCATGTGGACAAGCTTGGTGAGTGGATCATAGAGGCCACCGTGGTAGCCTATGATGATCTGAAAGTTGGGGTTGGTGTCCATGTAGATCTCCCCGTAGGCTGTGTATAGGATTTGCTTGATCATCAAACCCGTTCCACTAAAGACAGCAAGAGGAGTCCCGATGTTGTCACAAGCTATGTAAAACTCATCACCGCTGCTAAGCTCCATGGCAAAGAGGTGTCCTTGCAAGTCATAGTAGAGGGAGGTGATCTCAGAGCTGGAGTGGTTGTAGAGGTGGGTGACCTTGGTGGGACTGGTCAGGTCTGCATAGAAGAACTGCAGGTGGTGGCCATGGCTGCTCTTGCTGGACACCCGCCGCCCCAGGCCGTCATAGCGGTACCTGACACTCCAGCCACCAGCCCGGTTGTAGGCCTTGATGAGTAGGCCAGCTGAATTGTACTCAAAGATATCACCACCCCGCTGCCTCAGGAAGCCATCTTCATCCATCTTGTACTGCACGTCACCCAGCCGAGTGATGCGGTCACGGAGGTCGTACCGTAGTGGTGTGAGCCGTGCACTGTTCCCAGGACTCAGTAAGTGCAGGTTCCCATTGAGGTCGTAGCTGTAGCGCCAGAGTGGTTTGTCATTGATGGAGACCGTCTGCAGCTGGCCATCAGCATCATACTCATAGGAGTAGCGGGTGGTATTGGCGTAGGGTCCTACCTTCAGTTCCTTCTTCACTACTCGCCCCATGTTATCATACTGGACAGTCATCCAGTACATGAGCGAGCGGAAGATCTCATACTGCACCTCCTTCATCCTCCCATATGCATCAAAATGCTTGGTGTGGGTCATAACAGCTGTAGTGATGATCTGGTTAATGTCATAGTAGATGACACCAAACTTCCCAAACTGCTCTGTCTTGCCTGACACATCATCATAGCGATAGAGATCGATGGGCAGTGGGGTCTCGTTGATCACAGCCTGCATGCTGGTCACCCGGAAGCTGTTGTCATAGTTGTAGTCAAAACGGGCGTTGACCATGCCTTCCTCAGTGAAGCGGAAGATCTGCCGGTCGATCAGGGGCCCGATCTGACGGTAGCGGATGGTGCAGGTGAAGCCTTCGTTTTGTAGGTTGATGGTCTTCAGCATGCCTGCCGTCTCGTCATAGGTGAAGCTGACCTTGGTGGTATCGTACAGCGTCTCCGCCAGCTTCGACAGTTTGCCATACTTGTATATCACCCTACGGCCGGTGCCCAGGTAGAAGGTGTGGAGGAGGTGCCCATCCTCAGTGAAGTCCTGTATGACTGAGGCATTGCCCTCAGGGGGCTGGTAGATGTTTCTGTAGTAGCCGACTGAGCGGATGGTCTCCAGCGTCTGCCGTGCCACGTTGGGCATCGTCACAGAAGAGAGGCGGTCATTCTTGTCGAACTCAAAGATATACTGCCTCTGGCTGTGTAGTAGCAGCACCATGGACTGGAGGGAGAGGAAAACCAAGAGATGAGAGGAGGGTAGTGAGAAGGAAGGGTAGGGCTACATACCTGAGACTTAAAGGGAAGGAATGAACATCCAGGAAGAATCTAGAGTTTCCATGGTTCTCTTGAGTTATGCTCCAACCAGAGCTTTCCAACAGGAGTGCCATAGGATACTGCAAATAGGTTACAGATGTGCTAAGATGACGCTTTCTCTCAGCCTTCGGCCCTGGCAGGGCCTAGGCCTCCAGACATTCAGGCCATTTGCCATTCTACGGTGAGTTGCCTCATGTGTTTGCCCCTTTGTGCAGTACAGACCTGGTTACTTTTGTGTGTGGCGGGCGTGAGGATGCTTGGGAAGCCTTGGCCTGAAATATGTACAGCGGTCTCCCTCCTGGCTTCCTTGTCCCAGAATTCTCAACCCAATCTTCCTACTCAGACAAGAATGAGCTCCCCCAAACACAGTCTGACAATTTCTTTTATGGGCTAAACAGCTCCTGCTGACTCCCTGTGGCTTACAGCATGAAGACAATATTTGAGAAGGGCATTTAAGCTTTTGCACAATGACAGGTTGTATGCCTACCCTGGGGTAGGGCAGGCTATGATGGGAATGGGAGAGCCTGGTTTCTAACAATGGATTTCTTGTGTGACTCTTGGAAAGTTCTTCCCCTCTATGGGGTTTGGCTTTTCAGTATGTTGGATGACCTCTAAGGTCTCTCTTAGCACTAGCACAGAACATCACTTTTGGGGATACTCACCCAGCACTGGACAGGGGAGACTCACCTCAGAGCAAGCAAAGCCTAGGCCCTGGATGGATGACCAGGGTCAGGAAATGAAGCAGGGATCTGGGTACTAGCACTGGGCATGAAGTGCACTTGTTCTCAGGAAAAGATCAGCAGATAACAGGCCTAGAGGTTTTATGCTGAAAAGCTACCATTTTCTCCAATTGGAGACCAACTTTTGATTTTGGGTCATTTCTGATTCTTAGCCCCTGGGATGAAATGAATTCTGACCTACAGCAGAATAGATTGACTGAGGTCATGCCCAGCTCTTGAAGCTCAGGAGTAAGTGCCTCCTGCCTAAGTGCTGATCTCTAGGCTTCTGCCTGGTTCTCCATGAATGGATTGTATCATGTGCCCTAGACCTGGAAGCAGACCCTTGCCCTGGGTCTGAACCCTGAGTCCTGCTCTGCAAGTCCAGTGAGTGAGTGGGCCTCTACTCTATCAGGCAGGTCTTTCATGTTCTCTTGCCCTAGGAGTGCCACCTGCCATTGCCACTACCATGATCTATCCAGATACCTCTTGGGACCTCCTGCCCTCTGTGGCAGATTTTCCTGAACATTTCCTTTTAGAGACATGGGTCAGATATAGCCCACTGAGGTCACCAGGCTGGGCCTGGCCATGAATGATTGGCCTTCTGTATGGCATGGCCAGTGATGGAGGGAGACAGACACCTGCCTTCTCTAAGTATGTGTAGCTCCATGTTTTCCCATCAGCGAAGATCCTGGACGTGATGCGGCCCGCCTGGTCGTACTCCATTCTTTCAGACATGATGCCTCTCTGGATGCCAGCAATGTGACCCCCAGGGGAGTATGTCACATTGACACCATTCAGCCTGCTGCTGGGTGACCAGAGGCTGGGCCGCCCTGCCTGGTCATACAGGATCCTAAGGGTGAACTTGCGGTGGTCATCATAGATCTTCTCCGTTCGTGTTACGCGGTCAAAGTCCAAAGATAGGAGATTTCGGTTGTGAACCTGGAGAAAGGGTAGGAAGAGAAAATTAATCTGGACCATGAGAAGTTTGGTCTGATGGTCCACGTGGCTCTCAGCTCTGCTGGGAAGCTCTTGAGTAGAGGCAGGAGCACAGGTCCTGTGCAGCAAAAGACATGGGTTTGAGTCCTGGCTCTGTCATTTGTCAGCTCTGTGAAGTGTCCTCACCTATAAAATGGGAACAATAATGCCAGTTGCACAGGGCTGCTGTGAGGATGAAGACACTGAGTATGTTGTGCAAACAATAGCTGTGACCAAAGAGGATCTGCATGTTTTCTAATGTGATTCTTCTAATGAGGACACATTTCAAAAGGCAGATCCTCCCTGCTGAAAAGAGACCCACCAAGTGAGCCCAGCAAATAAACTGATCCATCTGTTCCACACCCAGACACTGAAGAGACCAAAGCCCAGGGAGGTGAAGGGATTTACTCCAAATCTTGGGGCTGGTGAGTGATGGAGTCTGGACTTGACTTTCACCCCTACATCATGCCACCAAACACTCAGTGGTCCTCTGAGCAATTCCAGCCTTCTGAGGGCTCTGGACTTCCCAGCTCCTCTGGGGTGTCTACTGCCTTGCCACTACAATTAGGGCTTCTTGACTGCCACAGTCAGTACCCAAGACATCTTCTTCACAGAGGTGCTGGGAGGCAGTGAGTGTTTGACACTGGGGTGGCTCTTCTGGCTCTGGGCTGAATGTGGACACAGTCCTAGCTTTGAGACACTTTGTGCCAGCCTTCAGGATAGGGAGTGCCTTGTATAAACTCTACCTGGGCTGCTAGGTCAGCACACAGTTCAGTTTCCTTTCAGAGTCAGAGACAGGGCTCCCACAGACATAGTGGTAAGTCAGAGTTTTTATATTTTAATAAAGAAATATACTTCAGGGCCTGTTTCTATATTTGGATCTGCCCTGTAGGCACTGGCTGCCCCTGAAACACTGCCAGGTATTCTGGAGCTAAAATAATGGTTCCCGCTAATTGGTGTCTGGCCTGATGGGACATCTGTCTCTTATGGCACATCTGTCTCTTATGGCACATTTTCTGTCTCTTCCACTAGTCATTGCATAAGTAGTAAGGAAGTAGTAAGTAGTAGGAAGGAAGTAGTAAGGAAGACCCAAGAGGAAAGCAGATAATTAGGTCACATGATGCAAAATGGCATGTGTGGACCCAGGCAATGAAAGGCCCTCTGGAGCTCTGTGTGGTTAAAAAAATGGGTCCAGGTCTAGGAATGAAGGCCAGGATTCTAGCTACAACTTTGTGACCAACTTTTCTATTGACCTTGAGATCTCTGAGTCTCAATTTCTTACTCTGTGTAACAAGAGTCATTGTGAAGGTTGAAGAAACTTAGTAAATCAGTGGCGTGCTAGGCACATAGAAGATACTGAATAAATGGTTGGAATTATTTCCGTTAAATGACAGCAAACAATCATGGTCAATTCCCAGGAAGGTGAGATGTGTGTGTCTCCCCGTTCTTCCATACAAATTCTAAGGCCTTGAAAATAAAGATGTATAATGAAGATGCTGACTTTAGCGGTGAATGGCCTGGTTATAATAAGGTTCCCTTCCCTGGGGTAATCAAACACAATTGCAGAAACAAAAACAGTGTGGCAGATGATTCCCGTGAAAAATCAGAGGCGCTGGAGGCTGAAGCTGTGTTCTCTGCAGAGAGGGCACAGGAAGATACAGGGGCTGTGCCACCAACAATGACAGAGGCATTTTTAAAGTATCTTTTGGAAGGTTCCCCTATGACTCCCTCAGGGTGGTGTCACCCAGCCAGCTGCCCCACTTTATCCCTGGAGGATCTCTAGTGAAGGGGAGCTGTACCTTTTTTGGAAAAATTAATAAAATTAAATTAAACAGCTCACTGGGGAGCCGCCTAATGTGTCCTATGCTCGGCAGTGGCAGCAATGAGATTGTTTTACCTCTTTCTTTATTAAAAAAGTTCCTAGTTGTATAAAAAATGAGCTCCATATGGGGAGGCACACCCGGCAAACATTCTAATTCCACCTGCCACCACTGTGGGTGGCCATTTATTTGGGAGGACATGTAGACATGGCCACCCGACTAGAGCACCATCAATCTCAGGCTGGGAGAGACACCAATTAAAAGCCTGGGAAACTTTTGGTCCAGTTCACACAGCAGAGAGGAAGTCCTAATCATGCTAATTGCTGCCATTTATTGAGCACCTGGAGTCTACCAGCACTGGGCTAGGTGTGTTGAACGTATTATCTTGTTTCTGTGGAGGCACCTGAGGCTCAGAGAAGCTGCTCAATGCTCCACATGGCACAGGCAGGAATCACACCCAGGTCAAACTTCCCATTGAGGACACTGCCACACTCAGAGGTGCATGCAGGGCTCTATACTAATTCAGATGGGGGGGTGAGGGGGGTGAGGAGGGTGGGGGGTTAGGCAGGGGCTCAGTAGGCCGCAGAGAAAAAAGACGGCTAGGCCTTCCTTAGGAAACTAATGCAAGGCTGTTTCCTACAATGAGCTCTTGGATGTTGAGGGAATAAACGAAGCCTGGTTTTCTGGGTTCTAGTTGTGTGATAGTGGGTAAGTCACTTAATGTTTCTGTAGCTGCTGTGGGCCTATTTTCTAGTCTTTTTTTTGAAACTGTTTTGCTCTGTCGCCCAGGCTGGAGTGCAGTGGCGCCATCTCAGCTCACTGCAACCTCCGCCTCCCAGGTTCAAGCAATTCTCCTGCCTCAGCCTCAAGAGTATCTGGGATAACTGGTGCCTGCCACCACACCCAGCTAATTTTTTGTGTTTTTAGTATAGATGGGGTTTCACCATGTTGGCCAGGCTGGTTTCAAACTCCTGACCTCAAGCAATCTGCCTGCCTCAGCCTCCCAAAGTGCTGGCTTCCAGGTGTGAGCCGCTGCGCCCCATCTATTTACTAATCTTTACCACCACCTCACCATGCGACTCTGGAGAAATTGTTTAATCTTTCTGGACATCGGTTGTGTCATTTGTAAAAAGAGGGGCTTCAGTGAACTTTCTTTGCTGAAGGGCAGGGGACCTAAGAGACACTGAGCTGTGTTGCTATGAGGTCGCTTCTGGAATGTTAGGAACATGTAGCTCAGTTCTATAGCTGGTTTCAGCTCAGCAGATATCTCCTGAGCACCCTTGGTCTGCAAGGTACTGTGCTGAAAGCCACGGCTAGTTCATTAACTTTCTCTCTGCCCATTACCTGCCTTTCCCAAGCTGGAGGGAAAAGAAGCTGGCCACTCAGGCCCTGGCAGAGGTCACACTGTACAGAAACATGGGATGTGAGGCAGACAAGGAGCTGGTTCCGGGCATCCACATATTCAAAAACACTCTGAATGTCAGACCACGATGCCAGCCCCAGAAGTGATGGTTTGGGTAGGTCATTTTGCTCATTTAGGATGGGTAACTCTGCCTGGAACTAGTGGATAATGTAGCTTAGGTTCAAAGTAGCTGAACTGAATTTTGGGACATGTTACCAATAGTAATAGTAATAATAATAAATAATAGCAATAACAACACTAAGAGTAGGTATTGACCACTTGCTGGAGTCAGACTCTAAGATGCTTAATAGATGACTTCTAATCCTTATAACAACTTTTAAAATCAGTCTTGTTCTCCCCATTTTATAGTTGATGAGATTGAGGCTCTAAGATTACTAATCTGCCCAAACTCACTCAGGGAATAATATAAGCTGGAAATTTCAACTCAGACCCGTCTAACACCAAAGCCAGAAATCTTTCCACAAGTAAAAACTAAAAAGACATACAAGGGCCTCTAATCACATGTGGTTCCCTGCTTTAGTTCCCTCCTTTTGCAGATAAGTAAACTGAGGTCCCAGGGAATTTGAAGAACACGGTGCAGTTCTCCAGATTCACCCTCCTCCTTTCCCCCAGGACGCAGCCACCTCCAGAGGCCTTGCTCACCCGCAGCCGGCGCCCGAAGACAGTGACCTGGCCCCGAGCCTGCTCCTTGCGCTGCCTCCACTCCACCAAGTTGAGGCCATTGTCAATGGGCAGTGTGACATTCCTCTTGCCCACGGTGGGGTTGACAGTGCCAGCCAACAAGTGGGGCTCGGTCTGCAGTGCCACCTCCATGCCGTTAGCCAGCAGCAGCCGCAGGGAGCCGTCGGCCCCGATGTAGTAGCTGTTCCGGACTTGGTCTGCAGGAGAGGACAGACACAGACTGCTCAGAGGGAACGAAGGTGGAGGGAGGTTTGTGGACAGCAGAGGCAGCAGTGGGGACTTTCACGGATGCTTTTCCTAACTATGAAAGCAGTATATCATCACTGAAGAACACGAGGAAAATACATGGAGAAGACCATCCAGAATCTCAGTATCCAAAGAAAACCACTGTAAATATTTTATATATTTATAGATTTTAAGAAATTTCCAAATGCCCTTACAGTTTAAAATAGATGAATTTTAAAACAGTTACAGAGTTTTCACTGATCATTGTATTATGTCACTATTTTTCATAAACATTTTTCTTAATGACCATACAGTATTCTACTATATGAAAATACTGCAAGTTATTTAACCAAGCCTCAAATTGATATTCAATTTGATTCCAGGTTTCCACAATTATAAGCACCACTGTATATAAATATAGTTTAAATGTTATGTTAAATGAAAAAAGTCAGATGTAAAAGGCTACATATTGTCTGACTCCACTTATATGAACTGTCCAGAATAGGCAATGATCTCTAGAGACAGCAGTTGCCAAAGGCTGAGGGGCAGGGGAATGCAGAGTGGCTGCTAATGGGTTTGGGATTTCTCTTTGGGGTGATAAACATGTCACAGACATATGACAATGATTTAAATATAGATATGATTTGAAATTTTAAATTTGATTTAAAACATTTTAACTTAGATTTTTAACTAAAGGAAACTTCTGGTGAAAAAAGTCAATTTCAGCTGTAAAATGCATATAGAGTTGCTTTCTACAGATGAAAATACTGTCTCTGGGTTTGTGCTACACTCTCCTGTCTGGCCCTTCCTTGGCTGTTTCCTCTGCACCACACCCCTCTTCAGAAAGTGCTGGCTTCAGACTCCCTCCAGGCTCTGCTAAAATGTCATCTCTTACCAGAAGCTTCCCCTGTTCCACTGGCCAGAATGTATGACTCCCTGTCGTGTACACCCCTTAGCCTATGGGCTTCCTCAGTGGTCTTGCAGCTGAGGCGTGTGGGAATCACTGCTCCGTTAATGAACACATTCTCCAATATTTGAGTGCGTGCTGTGAGAGGCACTATGGCACAGAGATTAAGAGCTTCACTTTGGAGCCAGGCTACTTCGGCTCAGGTTACAGCTCTGCTGCTGCCTTGCTGTAAGACCTTGGCCAAGTTCTTAACCTCTCCTGCCTCTGGTGCTTCATCAGTACACTGGGACAATAATTGTACCCTGCCTTGCAGGATGCTCTGAGGGTTGAGTGAGATCATGAATATGAAGACCTGAGAACTGTACTTGGCATATAGTGTTATATAAATGTTAGCTGTCACTGGTTTTGTGTGCATGGCGCTGTGCTAGCCACTGTCGTGTGTATTTCTTGGCCCTCCCGTATCTCCACTATCCCATTTTTTTTCTCTCTCTCACACATACATACACAGACACACACACATCAAGGTGAACTTCTCTAGTGTTGATCATGGCCCTGCAATAGGGCCTCCTTGCTTTTAGGTTGGCAGTCAAGAGAACAGGTTCTATAGAGCCTGTTTATCTGGGTCCAAATACCCGATTAGGTGTGTGACTTGGGCAAGCTACTTAACCTCTCAGTGCCTCTCACTTCCTTCATTCAGAAAAGGGAGACAGTAATACCTACCTCCTAGGCATATGATGTGCTGTATGAGGTACCTTATGAGCTATTGCTTAATAGGACAATGTAAGATGCTGAAAATATGCTTTGTAGTTAGTAAGTGCTCCAAAAATGTTAGCTATCATCATCATTAGGATTGTATGTGCTCCGTAAATCTTTGCTGGATGAAACTGGTATGTTCCAGGCTACGCCAAGCACTAAAGATAGTTATTAATCAGTAGTTTCATGGGAAAGCCTCACTGAATCTTTTCTGCTAGAATGGCAACAAATAGGCCCCCCTTTCTCTTACTCCCTCCCTTTTCCATCCTTCTCTCTTACACACGCAAAATTCTAAAATCTGCCTCAAACTTGCTATGCATTATTCACTGACAATCTATATTTTTCTTCTTTTGAACAGTGAAAAAGCCTGTGTCGATTTCCCCTTTAAAGCTGCTCCTTGCTGAATCCACATATGTCCATTAATGGTGACTTGGAGGGAACAGCATCTGTACAGGCCCGTCTCAGATGATCCCATTTAATGTGGGCTGTGACTTCCCAAGGCCGCTGCTCATTAGCAGCTACTTCTTATTACTTCCCACAGTTTAGACAGAAGATGAAACTGAAAGATCTTTTCACAAAGACTCTAGTGAGGCAGTTGCAAAACTGAGCCTCGTACTCAAGAAGGAAACAGCTTGGCAGAGTTACCAAAGAGGAAAAACAGGTACCATGTTTCCTGGATTCCAAGAAGTGTTTTTTCTTTTCACATTTTAATGGTTTTTTGAAATTGGAATGTGTCCATGTATGCCTTTTGAGCAGTGTGATTTTTTCCCTCTGCCTAAAAAGGTGTTATTAAATTGATGGTACATTTTAAAACTGAGGAATGTGGCACTTGCAAATTTTAAGTTGCCCAAATATAAGAAAGCCTGCATGAACCTTTGAGAAAAATACTCACAACCAGTTTAGCAGTATGGCATGGATGGATACTTCTTAATCACAGGGAAGAAAACAGGCCTGAAGGACAAGATGTCAGAGTAATTGGTGGTCCTTGGTCAGGCAAGATCTTGGCTGCCTCAGAAGCTGTACCTTCTCTTGGCAATAATCCAGTCAGAGCACAAATCCCTGGGGTCCGTCCCAACCCACTTGTGATATTATGATTATATATCCACGGTTCCTGGCTCATAACTCCTATAGCCCTTGTTAGTCTTTTGTTACAATGTTGAGGCACTTCGGGACCCAGAAGCAGGCCTTAGGAAACAATCACTCTCCCTCTCTCTCTGACCTTCTGCCCTCCTTTCCATGGCAGGACTCTAATGTGACTGTGGGTCATAAGACCTACATTTCAGAGGGGATCCTGCCTCATAGCCTGGAGGAAGGAATAAATGCTGCACAGAGAGGCCAAGAAGAATCTGAAGAGACAGGCCTTGCTGGGTTTAGATCTTACCGATTTTGCCCAATCACATTTCTGCATGGTTGTCAATCACACCTATCCAATGAAGCCTCCATAAAAGGCCCAAGAAGACAAGGTTTGGGGAGCTTCCAGACTGCTGAACATATGGAGGTCATGGAGGGGTTAGGGAGATGTGCCTGTGGAGGGTGTGACAGCTCCATACCCCTTAACCTCTATCTTGCCCTACATATCTCTTCATCTATATCCGTAGTAATGTCCTGGTAATGTAAGTATTTCTCTAGTTCTGTGAGTTGTTCCAGTAAATTAACTGAACTCCAAGAAGCAGTCATGAAAACCTTAAATAGAAGCCAGTCAGATAGAGGTTCCAGAGGCCCAGACTTGCGGCTGGTGTCTGAAGTGTGGTAGAGGCCGGGCAGTTTTGGGGACTGAGCGCTCAACCTGTGGGATCTGAGGCTATCTCCAGGCAGTTATGCTGGAATTGAATTGAGGGACACCCAGCTGTTGTCCACTGCAGAGCTGATTGCTTGCTTGGTGGTGGGGAGAACCCTACCCCTGTCTACATTTGGTCGCAGAAGTCTTCTGTTGATGACTACTATGTGAGAGCAGAGGAAACGTTGAGTTTTCCTTGAAAACCATGATTAAAGGTGCTAGGTGGGGAAGGAATTCCAGTGTGTGGTTTCTTTCTTTGAGAACCTTTATTGTTCTTGGAACTCTTTGAAAGGCAAAGGACTAAATTTGGGAATAAAAGTTGTAAGAATATACAGATATTTATTTTCTTATGGTAGGTTAAACTGCTTGCTAATTAATTAATTACTTAATGAATCCAATAGTATTGTTTATCGAGCAATACTACGTGCTTGGCTCATGCTAGTCACTACATTGTCTAAAGAGATCGTATAAGCAGCCCTATGGGGCAGGTGTTAAAATTCAGCCCCATTTCCCAGAGCCAGAGACGAAGGCTCATCGAAGAAGAGTGACTCCAGCAAGTTCACACAGGTGGGAAGTGGCACGGCAGGCACAGGGCTCCGAATTGTCCACCCAGAACCCCTGCTCTTCTCATTGCTCCACCCCATTCCACACAGTTTCAACTTGCTTTCTTTTCCAGGAAAAGAAACCAAGGGGCACAGTGGATGACATGGTGGCAGAGTCAGAACTTAAACTTGGGCCTCTGACTCTTAGTCTAAACTCCTTTCACTGCTTTGTGTGGAAGCCTTTGGGAGTACAAGGAGCCATACAGTGGGCAGGAAAAAATCAGGCAGAGCTTTCCCTGGTGATGGCATCTTTCTTTTCAAGCTTACTAAAGCCTACAAAGCTGCAAGCCCACCTGGGTCCCCACATCCCATGGGAACAACTGAGGCAGATAATTCACAGCAAGATTTCATCGTCGTGGAATCTTTTTACCTGAAGCTAGAAGACCAACCCGTAACACATGATTTGACAGATGCAGAGAAGAAGGGATGAAATCCTACAAGAGGCACAAACCTTCTCACCTGGGCTTCAGGAAGGAATTCTCCATAATCAAATCCCTTTCAAAATTACGTGTAATTATTCTTGTCCTTTGTCCTCACCTACACCAGTGTGAGTGTGTCTGTTAATCTGGGAGTCATTAGGATGGCAAATAGTGAGGTCACCTGGATTAGCAGCTAATGAATTCTCTACCGTTTGTTCTAATGATAACAGGATAGGAGAATAAAATATTATTCTGAAGCTTCTGAGAGAGAATTTTACTTGACTCAGGCTGGTATGTTTTGCAAATTAGGTGATAATACAGAGAGTCGCAATGCTTTCCTGCTCTTGGGCAGCTCCAGCAGTAGCTTGTTTCTTGTGCCATCCTTCTCCAAAGGGGTCTTCCCACCCCTCTGCCTCAAAGCCCCCTGGTTCCCACCCGACTTACCTTGCAGCAGTGTGTAGAAGGCACCTGAGGCAGACAGGTTTGTGGTTATGGTGACATCGTCCTTGCTGGAGGTCTCTACCTGGACATGCACTGAACTGTCTGTATCACTTCGGAAACTGCTCACCTGGCCAGTAGGGAAGGTCACATTTGTCAGGCGGCCAAAGCTGTCATACCTGGAAACCAAGGGGTGGCACTGAGAAGCAGAAATATAATGGTGCTCTAACTGGAACATGGTGCATTCTACCTCATGCCATGGTTTTGCTGTGCTCTGCTTTCCTTTCTGGTTGGATATATTCCCATGTCTCCCACATCTCTTGCACAGGACCTGGTACAGAGATTTCAGGATGTGACTCCACCTGCTGATATCCAGCTGCAGGAAAATGACTGACCTATCTGAGTCTCCCTTCCCTAACCCAAACAGTGGAGATGATACCACCAACCTGCCTACTGCCCAGGAGTGCAGCTATACACTGGAATCCAATTGTGAAGGGGTGAGATGATGGTGGTCATAATGAGATGGATGACCCAGAATCTTAGAACTGGGGGACTCCCCAGAAATGATGTAGTCAAGTTTGATGCCTGAATACCCAGTGCAAAACTTGCAAGAACTGGTTACACAGGCTATTCCTGAAAAACACTAGAAATGGGAGCTACTACCCAGGGGTTTCTACAAATCCTGAGGAAAAGGGATTCTGAATTCAAACCAGGACTCAGCCTAGATAAATGGTGTCTTGCAACACCTTCCACTTAGATTTTACATCTGGCACTCAGCATTTTTGTATCTGCAACTCTTAGAACCCCACAGCTTTGCTCAGGAATGGTCTTTCTAAAGCATCTTAATTGAATTTTAATTCTCTTTACTATTCTCCTGATAATAATAAAATAAATACCTACCATTATTGAACACCTCCTATATATGAGGCATGGTGCTAGTTGCTTTTCAAGCATTTTCATGTAATCCTCATTTAATACATTTTTCATGTAAACCTCATTTAATCCTAGTCTAAAAGGTATGTATTATCTCCTTTCTGGAGGATCAGAAATTGAGGCTTGGAAAAGTGAAGTCACCTGTTCAAGGTCATACAGCTAATTAAGTGCGGGTAGAATAAAAATTCAAACTCAGATCTATTTGCTTTCAAACTGCCACTTGCCTCTCTGTCTTCAATGAACACTTCTGTACCATCCATTTGCAAGTATTCATCACATGCACTCCTCCCTGGCAGGAGTGGGCTATTAACATTGTAATTATTGTTTTTAATTAGGGGAGGCTGAAGTGTAGACAGGCAGGCTTAAATAACCTTTTTGCACTTGTGTGTGAATGGGGACACACTTCTTCCTCTACACAGCAATATTCCTGACTTCCTGGACACGGTTGCCCCTTTGTACTGTGGGTCTCCCTACTGGCCTTTTTTTTTTTTAACTTTTGTTTTTACTTCTGGGGTAAAGCTGGCCCCTGGGTTCCTGTGAGGGTTTTCATGATGGGGAAATAAAAGGTCAGAGAGTTCAGCTCTGTCCAGGCTCTTCCTTCAGCTGGGCCTCGCTTCTTGCTGGGTTTCCTGGGTCTGTAGCTCCTATGGTTTCAAGGAAGACTTGGTGGGTGAGATTAGGCAGGTCTTTGCTCAGGAATTCTCTGCCCAGGGTCAGACTTGGGTGCTGCACTACAGACTCTGTCATTTGCCAGCTGTTTCTGTGCCTGCGCCGGGCACAGATCACAGCACTCTACACTGAATCTAACAGTCCCTGGCACACTCTGCCACAGAGGTAGTATTGGTAGAGATCTGCTGAATAAATCACCCCTGTTTTTGGCTTAAGACCAATTCTGGGGGAGAGGCCAGTGGCCTTCAGGGAAGTTGGATGCTTCTGCGGCTGAGGCCTTTCCAGGATGGCAGGCAGTGCTGTGGCCTCGGGGCCACTCCCTAGGCAGGGCTGCAGGCAAGGCTGTGGCTCTATCAGAGGCTTGCCAGTAGGTGGTTAGAGGGCTTCAAAAACCTACATCCTGCCATGGTTTCTCCTTTCTCTTCCTAATACTGAGTCAGGTTCTTCCAGGAAAAGGTCAGTCTGGCCTAGCAGAGGCTGAAACCTGGACTGGGTGGTCAAAAGGGTAGAATGCCCCGCAGAGCTAAGTGAGCGGTAGTTCTGAGAGATGGTGGCTAGGAAGGAGGGCATCTTAGGTAAAGATCTGAGATGCACGTCCCAAGGCTTCTATCACATTGAGATCCTCTCAGGGCTCTGGCTCCCTTCAATGCTGAGAGAGGCTGGGGTTCTTTTTAACCCTTTGTGGACACTGGAAATTTGAATAGAAAGGAAACATACAAAAATATTGACAGTGGTTATCTCCAGGAAGTAGAATTACAGGTGATTTTAGTTGCTTATTTATATATATGTATCCATGATTTTTAAATAATAAACATGGATTATTATCATAATCAGAAAAGTGTTGTGACAAGCCAGGTAAAACCACATGTAAGAGCTCATGAGCATGGCCATCTTGGGAAGGCAGATGCCTTAAATGCCAGGCTATGCATAGGAGAGTCTCCACTTATGGGGCAAGCTGTCAATAACAATTTCTAGGCCTTTTCAGCAAAATATTACTAGGGTACTCCAAGTTTTTGAGTTAAAAATCAAGACCCCCCAAAAAACTGTTTTTTCCACGGTCATCTTAACTCTGTCTGTGATTCATGATTAAGCTGGGTCTAGTCAGAGCCTGAGTCATCTTTTAAATCAACAGGAAGATTCATTTAGTCCAGCAGTTTAATGGGATAGGGATGCTGTTCTAGGCTGATTCTCTGAACACCTGTAATCCCTGTATATACTCTCTATTAAATAAGACTATTCACTCAGACTGTCTACTTTCCCAACCTAACCACGTGAAAAAGATTTTATAATACCATGCAAGACACTGCAAAGACAGTTGTAGAGTCTTACAGATAAGAACTGACAGATTGTTAAGCAGGGGTCAGATGTCATTTTGACACCACTTCTATCATAGCCTCACTCAAATGCCACCTCAAAAAGCCTTCCCGGGTTTCTCCTGTCCCTTCTCTGAGTGATATCCTGTGCACAGCTCTAACCCAGAATGGCTCCCCTGCACTGCAGTGTTGATGTACACATTGTCCGTCTCTTTGGACTGTAAGTGCTTGAGGTCAGAGCAGGTATGTGGAGTCTGTGGATTGACGCCACCTGGATTCTGCCACCTGCCAGCAGCATGACCCTGGAAGACTGGCTCTCAGTTCATCTGTGCTTCACCAGCATTGGAACTGGCATAGACAAGACAGGCAGGCAATGTTAGCTGAACAAATAAATGAATGCAGGATTGGATGTGCAAGGCCTCTTTCCTACTTTGTGGGAGAGGAGACACCATGATTCATTCACACATTCCCTCCTACAGGACTCGGCACAAGCCAGACACACAGTAGGTACATGATAAACACTTGCTGAATGCCAAAATATGGAAACAAAAACTCTCACTAAATGATACTCTGGCAATCTCTCTATGCATCTCCCCAGAGTTTTAGTCTTGAAGACAGAAAGAGGCTTTGTATAAAGGCAGACAATTGCAATTATTATTGAAGGTAGCATGTAATGCATAATTAAATTGAGCCTGAAGAAAATACAATGAAAAGGTCCCATGCCTTCAAGATCTGGTTTTCGTTTTATATTAGATGGTCAAAAAACAGTAATTTCCACTCTTCACCTTTTCCATTAGAAGGAATGAACATCTTAATTAAATGAACATCAAATAGAGCAACCAATTTATAAAATTTTCTTGTCTCCTATTCATTCATTTTAGTACCTTCCAGAGTTTGAGAAATGACCTGGATCTCCTTGCTGCTGGATCGATATCTGTGATTATCTGACCAGAACGGCTTCTTCTGACTCTGTATGGGAAGAAGTGGGGTTACCCATCCTCTGGGCCCTGCATACCTTGCCCTGTGGGTCACCTCTACAGAACCCTTTCTTCTCTACCACAGAGCTGCCCCAGCAAAGTGCAGAGACCTGGAAGGAGCAGTTCTCTGAACTCTTTGGGCTCCAAGTGGCTGCTTCAAGTCCTGGCACCATGATTGGGTGGCATCTGGACAATGGCTTGGTTACATCTGTGACGGCTTTCATTATGGGAACCCACAAAGCACTGGCAAATTTTCTTTCTTTCTAGCCAAGAGGAATGAAATAAATAGTTTTTTGAAAAGGTCTCTGGAGCCAGATGGTCTAGGCTTTGAATCCTGGCTCTACACTTGCCAGTAATGTGATCTGGAGGACAGGCGCTTGGTTCTGTGGTCCTCCTAACCATCAAGTCTCCACCACAAATGATATAATTTCAGGCAGGCTATATAATATAACCTGGGCGAGCCTCTGTTTTCCCTTCTATAAACGGAGATAATAATCCTATTTAATAGGGACACATGAAGATCAAAAGAGGTAACATATTTAAAATGAAAGACAAACTTATTCCCAGGGCTTTAGGACCCCAGGAGATTGCCCTCAGTGGAATGTTAACTCCCTGAGGTCAGGGACTTCATTTGGTCCCTGCTGTATCCCTGTAATGTAGAGTGTCTGGCATACAGTATGTGCTTTCTGATGTCAATGAATGTTGGCTGAATAACCTGGCTCCTTCCTGCCTTTCTTTCTGACTTCACCCAGAAGCTCACTCCTCCGCACGTCCTTCGTCTCCCTGTATCTGCTTCTGGTCCCCAAACATGTCAAAGTCAGTGCATGCTGGGGACTCATGCTTCCTGCTCCCTCTGCAGGAATGCTCTTCCCTCCAGTGTTGGTATGGCTCATCCTGTCATCATTCATGTTTCAGATTAAATGGTATCACTTCAGTGCGATCTTCCCTGACCACTGCTTCTAAGACAGATAAGTCCCCCCAATGTCTGTATCATATTTTCTTATTGATCTCACTATACTTATTACTTATTTGTTCTTTGTTGTCTGTCTCCTCCTAATATAAGCTCCATGAAGGCAAGGACCTAATCTGGATTCTCAGTGCCCAGAGGAGTACCCAGCATGTGGACAGTACTTGGTACATGTTTATTTAATGAATAAATATGTAAGTAAATAATAGATATTGTTGATTCAAGACATGGATTGAGAGCAACTATATTTGTTTTACCTTTCCTTGTCCAAATGAGGAGGGGAAAGGTGCTAATATTCACGTGGTACCTTTTAGGTATCA